TTTTTTCTGGACCGCCCACTTGTTTTAAGATTACGATATAGCCCCCTAACGGCTATAACTTATTACTGCAACTTGAATCTCACCCCTCCCCCCTCCAACTCTCTTAAAAAAATTACGACGACAGATTTAAGAAAAATTTGCAAAACGGTTACATTTGATATCGAAAAGTGTTTTGAGAGGGATGTCAAAAACATGCGCCCGGATATTAGCACAGGCTGCAACAAATCGCATTGCTGCATCATCATCCTGAAAATGAAAGGTAAATATGTAGGATTCAAAATAAATCAAAGGAAAATTTCAAAATAAGAATTAAAGGAAAAGGGTAGGATTCAAAATAAGAATTAAAGAATAACGAGAAAATGATGAAGTAGAAGAAACGAAAAAGGGAAGAAAAACGAAAAAAAAGAGATGAGAGGTTAAGAAAAAGTAATTTGAAGTCTCACACGCAAAGTAGAAAGATAACTGATAGTAAAAAAAAGTATTAAACCTTATCCCAGGACAAATTAGATCCATCTTTAATACGCTCTCGTAAAACATCCACGGTTTTTTCGAACTGAACTCTGCATTCCATAACTGTCCAGAGATCGTTATTCGACGATTTACTGCGACTCGAACTTGGATCTAAAAGCGTGTCAGATTTTGAAAATTCCACAAACACGAATTATCAAATTTTTTTCAAATATGCAACTTTTTTTTCAAAAAAAAGCTTCAAATCTACCCGAACGTGTCACTGTCACAAGCAAAACTTGAGTAGAAGAAACATAGGAGAATTTTGAGCCACCTTCACAAGCAAAACCTGAGTAGGAGGGATAAAGAAGAGCCGAAGCTTACAGGAATTTACTGAAAGAAGGATATAAACCCAAGCTGATTCTTAACAGAGGACATTTGACACAATTCCACAGCCTCCCCGCCGATTTTTATCGCTAACAGCACTGTTTTTTCCGGCAGATGCTTCTAGCTAAAAGAATTGAGACTGGCCGCCAGATTTTTTTCCCTCGTTGCGTAGCTGAATAACTTTCACTCATTTGCACCAGCGCATCTGACCGGGAGAGACTTATGGCGCTTATCTGGTCCTTGCTTTACCGCCCCCATTGAATTCTATTGAAAATGTTGTCACTGACACGCTACGACAAGTTGTCTGATGCTACGATTTCCACTCAAACGCATTTGATGTGAATATCTTTGAAGAAAAATTACTTTCATCAGGGAGATTGTGCCAATCCAGCGGTTCAGGCTTTCTTCGATCTTTCCACAAATCAGCCATAATTAGCAAATATTTGATGTCATCATGGAAAAACTGAAAATACTGGCCTGTTAGTATAACCTAGCATTAAGACAAACATACAAAATAGCTAAAAATGCAATCTGCACTTTTTCTGAAATAAATTTATTCGTTCAAAAAAGCAATTGTATGCTGTAGAAAAGACACGTAAAAAAAAAACAAAATCAAATCTTTTTGAAAGAATTCAAACTTAAATTTTTTTTAAGATTCAAATTCCTTTAGAATCTAAAAAAATCCTCTGAACCAAAATTTATGCCTAGGAAGATCGTTGTAAATCAAGTATTATAAGGTACACGTAAGTGTGCAGCCTGTGTTTTATGGAAAGAGCGAAAAAAGCAGCCTCAATCGTTACCTTTTTAAAAAGAATTTTCGGATCATAGCCATGCTCAGCAGCCCACTGTCTCGTGTTGATCTTTTCCAGGCCCGAATTATTATCACCATTCATGGATTGAGCGCTTTCTTTTTGCTCATCAGCAGTGGATATGCTGCTCTCCATTCCTTCACCGTTCGCACTGCTGCTGTTACGCATATTCTCCAGATCAGTAAGATCCGGCGATACTTCGTCATCGAAATCGAGCTCACCAAAAAGTTGACTGGAAATAAACCATAAATG